TATAGGCTCCAAAGAGCGCCACCACGACGGGCAGGTGCGTGTAGCTTAGGACCATACAGTGCGGAACCATAGAAGAAGTATCTAATTGGAAGGCTTCAGACTCTGAAAAAAGTCAACCCATCATTCTCACTTGTGAAGGTACAGACAGCCACAAATATTGTCAGCTGGTGGGTTTCTTGTTATTATTGGTTATAAAGTTGATTTTGGCTGATTAGTGCTTTTGTCTTGTGCTCAAAAGGTTCAATCTAGAGATGATATACGCCAAGATTCAGCCTTTCAGCAGGTTTATGGTGAAATGACTAAATTGCTACTCAATGACATCCCAAGCTTAGACCGCAACTTACAATTTGGAACCTATCAATGCATCCAATATCTAGTGATACAGGTGTGCTGGATTTTGTTGAACATACAATTTCTTTGAAGTGAGCAATCTAGAACTACCTGTTGCTCATCTATTGAACTGACTCTCTTCATTTATTCATCTTCCAGGCAGGCCAGTATGGGTGATCACTCTGTAGAATTTTACCACAACCGTCAAACGAGCTACATCAGATCAGTGGCTACCTCTTTCATTGCAGGGTACATAGTTGGTTTAGGGGCCCGGCACCAATCCAATATACTTCTGGATAAGCTCACAGGAGAGGTATTTCATATTGATTTTGGGATAGCTCTTGATGATGTAAGCAGAGTTTCACAGGTCTCTGGGTATCTTTAGTTGTAGTTGATACCATTGTTTTCCTACATCTTTCAAATTCCAATATATCAGAGTTCCTGGTTGCCTGTACCTGAGAAGGTGCCTTTCAGGCTTACTAAAGACATAATTACTCCATTTGGCATTGAAGACTTGAAGGGTACTTTCACAGACTCTTGCAAGAATACATTGCGAGTATTTAGAATGAACAATGATGTGATCTTGACAATGTTGGAAGTTTTCATATTCAATCCTCTTCCAAGTCGGTGAGCATAGTTCATTACATCGGTATACGTACTGATTCATTGGGCTCATTGTAAAGATTTTGATTGGACAGGAACAGCAAACACTTTCCTAAGGATACACAATCTGAATGCAACCCAACTGGACCTCTTGACACACCAACCACTCAATCACAAATGTTCATTTCTCATTATGATGTCGACCATCTGGACACCAGTAGAGTCAAAATGAGGAAATGCCTTCCCGTAGCCTCCAAAGAGGCTCTAGACCCTTTAGATGAAGTAAAGAAGAAACTGTCTGATAAAATAGATGTTGGTGCTCATGTTGAGGGGCTCATATCACAGGCTACTTGTCCACAGAACCTTGGTCCCATGTTCCCAGGTAAGCTTCAAAATCTAGCCTACAAGCTTCTTATTCTTGTCAACTGGAGCTAACTTTTCTGGCACTATGGAAAATCATGAACATTTGATGTATTTTGATAGCTGGGATTGGTAACCAGCCGCACTCCTAGTACTCTGTTCACATTCATTGCATCTCAGCTTTGTGCTTCATCAACATCACATTCCTAGTAGAATCTCTCAAGTCTCTTCTGATATGTTGTTCTCCATGTCTTTGTAAATATTCTGGTATACTTCACATAACAGGAAGATAGCTCTGTACACCTTGAGATAGGTGTTACATATGGACCTACCTTACATCTTTGTTACAACAGAATACCAACACCTAAGACCTCTGTATTGGCTTCACATGTAATTTGAAAAGATCAAACTTGCATTTCAGATTATACTAGCAGTTGTCACATTTGGATGTAATCCCCACCTCTGTCTACCAGACCTCTGTGATAGTATACCTTGGGAAATGTGTCATTCCCAGCGGATCCTATCCCTATGTCCACTGTAAGATTCAAAGATCTACAAGACTTGTCTTTTCAAGTCATTTTTCACACTCTTTCAAGACAGAGTCCATCACAGCCCTGTCTGAGACTCAGACTTGTCTGTCCAGGCCACACTCAGACTTGTCTGAAGACCCGCATCCCCAAAGTCCATCACAGACCTGTCTGAAGGCCAGAGTCGTCTGTCTACACCAAGCATGACTTGTCTTCCCGCATGCGCCACCTCAAAGACAAGTCTGTCCCGCCAGGTTTTCCTTTCTAGCCTCAACTTGCGCAGAGTGTACGTCTGCCCAGAATTCACATGCAGTCAACTTATACACAAAACAAAAGGAATTTATTTATACAAAACCCAAAATCAATCAACTCAGAGAACACGGAACACAACATATAATGAAATCAACTGATCAACAAAACAAAACAAACTTATACCAATTATGATTCAAACAATTCAGAGAACACTATCAAAATATATACACAACAAACGCTCATCAAAATGCTTCAATATGGAAGAAGACCAATCAAATCTCATCCAGTAAGTTTTTCATCTCATCCTCATCCTCATCCTCATATTCCAGTTCAAGCTCATCATTAGGCACTCTTATTTCCCCCTCTTCTTCTCCCCACAACAGCATTGTCTGCTCAAGAGCATCTTGTTCATCCAGTGCCTCTGCTTCAGGCTCGATGTGTTCACATTGTTCTCCCACTCGGCCTTGCACTTTACAATCAGCTCGTCCCATCTGAAAGCTAATATGTCATCAAATTCTGAAGTCGATCTACTGTACTGAAGTGTTTCTCGCAGCAATTGAACCAGGTGAGTGTTCCATCCCATCCAATCTCGAGCAAATGACTGACGAATGTTCATGTGTAATCCACTCAGAACCGTTCGGCTTTCATCCCAGACAATACTGGAACAGCTCCACTCAAAGGTGTGGCAGCGGAGCGGTAGCGCAGCGCTATTTTTGGCGCTCCGCGCACCACACATTGGAGCAGAGCCCCCGCGCCACTTCCTGGGACCGGGAAATCATGGAGCGGAGCCATCGCTCCGCTCCCCGCCCCGGCCTTGCACTCCACGCTCTATAGAGCGGAGCAGAAACCCTTTGATCTAGCCCAACCGATCCATCCCTTCAAACACCAATTATCAACTTTGAAGAAACAACAACCACTCGAAGCCTTTCAAAATGCTTGAAAGCATCTCCTAAGAATATTCGAACCATTCATTTTGCACTGAAACGTACAAGGAGACAAACGACGTCGAAGACTCGAATGAAAATGGATTACCTTTGGGAATCCTCAAACAAATCTTGCAGGAGTTTGTCAATTGATTGTTGGAAAATCAAGATTGTGAAATGAACGCTCCAAGAGCTCACCTCAAAGCTTTACCTTACCTCAAACTTGGATCGTTTTCAGAACTAATTCAATTGCGATCAATTTCAAAGGCTTGGTCAAGATCTGTTATAACATTCTATTTTGAAACAATTTCTATAGATAGTTCAGAATGTGCAAATCTGGTATTGAATAATTGAAAAGATGATTTCAACCTAATTATTGTCCTGTTAAACGACTTTCACTTACAAAGCTTTGCAATCTAGAAGAAGATGGAGTAGAAGTACGGGAACACCAAAAAGATGGTAAATTAGGTGTTTGTTTTACAAGTTTAGATCAGTTTATCCAAGCACCAACCACAGTCTGCTTTGATTACATCTGATTCTTTTGGGTATCAACTCTAGCTTCAATGCATTAAGCAGCAAATTTAATCAAATCACTTGGTGTCAACTTGAATACTTTGGACCTCCAATTGACAGAACTCTTGATTTTATCACAGCCATTCGCACTATTCAAAATTTAAAATCATTATATATTTCTTGTGAACACCGCTGTCCACAAGCGGCCTACAATGAAGACTTGTTGTCAGAATTAATCTATGCTACTTTATATAGGCATATACTTTATATTTTTATATTTACTATTTCACCACCTTGAAATAAATTCAATCTTATGGGTTTTCTCGCTGATCAAGCGCTCAAAAGAGTGGTGTGGAGCGCAAGCGGAGCGGTTTTGCCGCTCCACACCACCTGAGCCCAAATTTTTTAGAAAAAAAGCGGAGCCGGTGCGGTGCGCTCAAGCGCAGTGACTCCGCTCCGCAACCTAAACAGGCCAAAATCCAGAGTGGTGCGGAGCGGTTCCAGTATTGTCCCAGACATCCTTTGCACGTCTTCCCATTGGTTGTACCAAGTCAATTGGGCTATCCTTTCCGCTGGATTCCGGGTCCCATTCTGTCGAGTACAATAGAAATCAGGATCAAATGAACAAAATCCATACAATGCGAGTCAAGATGAAATGAAACAATTCAAATCATGTAATTTGATCATCTATTGATTAGTCTTTTATGTAATGTATACATGAATCAAAATTTGTGTTATACATACCTTTCAAAGACAATCCTCAAAGACAATCAAACTTCTCATCCGTCTTTAGTGCAAATACCACCATTTGTTGAATTTCGCGGCTGATCCGACGAAGCTCCTCACACTACAAGAAACATAAAATTTTTTGGGCAGAAAATTAAATTATTTGTATACAAAAATCTGGAAAGGTCAGAAACAGAGCAGAAAATTAAATTATTTGTATACAAAAATCTGGAAAGGTCAGAAACAGAGCAAAAAATATGAAAAAATATGCATCCTGTTCCTTGGTTTGAGATCTCCAATCTGCATATTTCTACGTATTTTTAGGGTTCATATTGGTGAGTGTACTAACAATAAACCCTCATAATCATCAGATTACCACCTGTAACAGATGATGAAATTTTCGTAATTAGTCATTATAGCCTAGGCTATGTACTTATCCTAGACTGGTCTTTTTCTACTCTTCGTTGTGCTAAACCCTTATTTCTTTATTTCCCTTTTTTGACCGTCCTAGTTCACAACATGATACAGACTAACTAGGCAGCTGGAAATGACACAACTAATGGCTGAATGGTAGAGATGGATAATGAAATGTTATAGGAATAACTGGACTTGTAGCGTGTTGTGTGTGATGAATTTTAGGCTTGTTCTTTTGTATAAATAGCGCATACTGTAGCCTTACTTTTTGTTCTTCACTCACTTATCTCGCTATTCTTTTGACGTCCACTTTCTTCTCATTTCTTCCATCAACTTCCTCACCATTTAGGTGTGTTTTCGTACTGTGTTTGAGACTTAGTTCCAACAAAGCCTTTTACTCACACCAGCGCTTTTAGGTGCTTTTTGCCACTTTCTGCCCTACACAATTTTAGGAGCATACGAAAGAAATTTGGCTGATCAGTGCTGAGAGAAAGTTTTGAATACTATAAAGCCCCATAACTTTGTCAATTCTGGCTTAAAACACTCGATTTTAGGGGCATTAGAAAGCTGAATTCCTGAACTACAACTTTTGTTGTGACATAAAATGTGTAATCCCAATGACTGACATTCTATTCGATGATATGTGAAATTCGATTTCATTGGGGATATCTTTCTTTGCAGGCCCGCCACGTATTTGCTTCATTTATGAACTATCTTCACGCAAATACCAGCTTTCCAATGCACTCACAATCGAGTGTTTTGAGCCATAATTGACAAAGTTATGGGGTTTTGTAGTAATCAAAATTTTCTCTCAGCACTGATCAGCCAAATTCCAGCATCTGTTACAGGTGGTAATCTGATGATTATGAGGGTTTATTGTTAGTACACTCACCAATATGAACCCTAAAAATACGTAAAAATATGCAGATTGGAGATCTCAAACCAAGGAACAGGATGCATATTATTTCATATTTTTTGCTCTGTTTCTGACCTTTCCAGATTTTTGTATACAGATAATTTAATTTTCTGCCCAGAAAATGTTATGTTTCTTGTAGTGTCAGAGCAGTTTCTGTGTGTTAAAAATGCTTGGATACCTTCCTTGGTTCCTGGGTCCGCTGCCCAAGCCTCGGTAGGATGCAAGAGTGAACCCATATCCCAAAATGGGTCCTTGATCTCCATTGACTTGGCCTGATCAAAGGTTGGACAAGGTAGCTCACTAAGGGGTGGGATCGGATTGTATTTTGACACTTGTAATTTGAACGAATCAAACTTTTGTTTGAATAGGTTCTGTTTATTCCTCATGAATTGCTTCAACCTCTGTTGTGCACGAGTTCCTGCCCAACATCAAATAAGTATATTCATTTCAATTTGACAAGGCTATGTTTAGAGTAGAAAAGTTTAGAGAGCATGAGCCGCACCGGCTTGACCATACTTCTCCCATTGCTTTTGTGCCTCCAATATCCCCACTTTGGCTTCGTATAACTTCTGTTTTTCCATGCGGACTCGGATGAGTCCTTTAGCCTTATCATCTGCAGAAGTGACTTATCAGATTATTCTTATTAGAAAAGAAATGTAAAATATAAGAGATACCCACCTGTGGCTTCTTTCAAATTGCAAAACTGCTTGTCTCCCAAATCTGCAACCACGGCAGCTATTCTCTCTTCCAAGGCTACAATCGAAGTAGGTAAAGTGAGAACTTGCTCTTGTTCTGCCTGGCTCATGTTTTTGCATTTGAGTGGCATTTAAACGGGACAGTTGAGCGCTATGGATGTTTGTATGTAGGTAACATATAGGATTGTTGAGAATCTGATACAATAAGCAATCAGCACCAAAAAACAAGTACTCACTGAGCGTCCCGTAGTTCCTCTTCAAAGTCAAGCAGTTCAATCAACCAATCCTCCAGATTTCAGAAACCCCGGTCTTCTGTGGCAGACAGCTGTAATGTTCTTTGACGGGCCCACTGAGCAGCAAAGTGCTTGTGTGTATAGCAAGCATTTGATGCCAATAAAGTCTCCAATTTCGACTTCACCGCCAACATATTTACCTCGGATTACAAAATCCGAGGTATCCACCTGTGGCGCCTGTACCAATTGACATACAAGCCGAAGGTAATGTGTCAAATACCATCGGCTAATGTGCCGATCTGTAGCACCAGAACATTGCAGGTGTTCTGGAACAAAACTTTAGCGACTTTTTTGCAAGTCAAAAACACTGCTGAACCACCCAAAATCACTCAGGAGCACGTTTTGTGGTGCATTGGGTCATACTCCATTGCTAAACCAAATGTTACAAGTGACTTGGTCCAAGAGCCCACCTCAGAGCGCTCTGAGACACGCCAGAGCGCTCTGAGACACACCAGAGCGTTCTGAGACTTCTCAGAGCGCTCTGGCAGGGGCAGCGTGGGTTCATTCTCACCAATCTTTCACCAGTCAATCTTTTCAGGAACCCTCTTCACAAAGTACATATGACTTGCATAGTTTCCCTTCTCTGACTCTCCATGTTTACAACTTTGCAATCCACTCAACAAAACCCAACAACCACCTCACTCGGCCTCAACTTCCATCAGATCAAATCATACAACTAAACCAATCAATGGACTGGAAGTGCTTCAATTAATTAATCTCATGTTTGTTTGAAGCGCTCTGCTGATCTTAATCGACCCCAATCTCATTGTTCTCATCATCACTCGCATCCTCCTCAGCCTCCTCATCCCAATCCAACTCGTCTTCTTCTTCTCGGACCTCATCCCCCACCATTTCCAACTCGGCAGCTTCATCCTCATCCAAGGGCTCAGCTTCAAGTATTGGAACTCGTGTCAGGCCTGCCCAGTCCTCCCTTGAACTCGTTGCTAACTTATTCCACTCGGTCCGAAGTCTGAGATCAAGAGCAGGTTGCTGAGCGTATGTCGCGGTTTTGTCAAGCACCTTCAACATCCCCACATTCCAGTTGATCCATAATCGCCGTTGATATAGTGTCAGGTGAGCAAGAAGTGTGTTCAAGACTGTCTTGCTTTCGATCAATCGATCTGAATTTCTGGCCTTTACTGACCTTACGATTCCTATCATCCACGCGTTTGGAATTGTTTCAACATTCTCATCTGAATACCAACATCCAAAAGACCTCAATCAATCATTGATAATCAACTCGACACGCAGGTAAGACAACCCCACCTTCTAATGCAAGAACAGTTCGTAGTATTGATATCTTGTCTTCAATCTCAATCGCCCAATTGATCATTTGTCTACACTCACGCCCCACTCGAGAAAGTTCATCAAGAGCATGTGTCTTGGCCAGGTATGCCTGAATCCCATCCTGGGTCTTTGGGTCAACTGCCCACGCCTCACCGGGATGGGTAAGTTGACCAACATCCCAGAACGAATCATACACCGAGAGGGAACGTGCATCATCAAATGAAGGGCAATCAAAGAGTGGACCATCAGGAAAGTCATTATTGTAATTGGTGACCAATTGGTTGAAAGTATTGTACTTAGATTTGAACGCAGCCTGCTTTTCTCTCAAAGTTTTCTTCATTTTCTGTTGAAATCGAGTACCTTGAACATGTATTGTTGTGTTAGTGTGGTGCAATAACACTTTAGATACATAAAAATCTCAAATAACTCACCAGCCCTTTGGTCACTATGCTTCTGCATAGTAAAAATGTCTATCTTAGCCACATGAAGTTTTGTTTTGGCCACCCGAATGCGTATCAAGCCACGACCTTTTGGTGCTATAATGCCAAAGAAGAAGATAATCATTATGTATCACTATTGAATGTGGAATTTCTTCTGTGATAATCTCACTGGATGCGCCTGGAATATCTCGGTACTCGTCACCTCCAAGCTGATCAACTACTTCGTTGATCTTGGCTTTCAATACTGCAATCGTAGCTGGAAGCGCAGCTACTTCAAGCTGTTCTGCCTCGCTTCGATCTCTTTGGTGCATGGCTTGCAAGTTTTTATAGTCCTCTCTATGATCAAGGTATTTCGGAACAACCTCCATAAGCTCAGGATTCAAGATATATTTGACTTACTCATACTCAACTCAGATTGATGTAGACTCTGCTCTAAACCAACAAGTTTGGCAAGCTTCTTGCTCAGTGAGTCTGTATTTTCATCCACCAGTGTGGTCAGCTGACAGTGCCGTTGACGTTCCCATTGCTCGATCAGGTAATTCTCGGTGTAAAGAGCATCACAAGCAAGAATCTGTAGCTTTGTTCTACTATCTATGAGTTGTTTGCGAGCCAAAGCCTCGCGTTTCAGCAGCCATTGAACTTGTAATTGAAAACAGGTGAAGGCAGTTGTCAATTGCAATTCATCTTTCTCAATCATGTCAATCATGTTGCATAAAAACTCACTTAGGTTGGCTCGGCCAGCCTCATTATGATGCTGGCCACGTAGATGTAACGCACATAGTCGATGGGCTGAGGTTGAATACCTCAGACCGCTGATCAATGAGGAGAGCCTGGACCATATCCTTTCCATGCCCTCACCATCAGAAAGTCCCCAGTCCATATTCAACCTTGGGTTATACTGTAATTGGCAAGTCCACTGGTGTACAAATGAATGAAAAACACTTGTACCAAACATCAGTAAACTGCGTTGACGCTCGTTTTCAAAAAGATTACGCTGGGATCTGGGGATTAGTACACTGTCATAAAAGTTGTGCGGTACCAACAAAAACAAAAGGTTGGTCTCACATTAAGAATTCCCTTTTCCATATTGCATCCGATGTCATAAAGCACAGCATATTTATAGTTCCGCTTGCTTTGCTTCATGAGCCAGTCCAGCATAGCCACCGGAAAATGACCCCTTTGGTCAAATGGGCCCAGCAAGAACAAAAAAATAAGTGCATTATCATGATTGAACTATGTACAGAAAGTTGTATTGACGACTTTGAACTCACCGCTCACCGCTTTGAATGATGTTGATGTATTTCAGTATATGATAGTGTCAACATCCCATTCCCATCAAGCCTGTTTCGTAACAGTTCTTCCAAGTGTTCCGACCTCGAATGTCATCTGCAGCAGTGTGCTGCTGGCTGCAAGGATGCTACGTATGTACATAAGTAAAGAGATGATTTGTAAATGGGTTAGTCTGGGACATCAATCAAACTCGTACATATTTATTTTGTTTGATATTGATGCTTATTCACTCACAATTAATTATTTTTGCAGTTGGCGCTGGGACTTCATCTTGATCTCCCAAATCTTCACTTCGCCTGGTGAAAGAAACAAAGATGGCATAATATTGGATTCACCGCGCCATGCGGCACTAGCTGATGTATGGCGGCCCTGCTGGAAGTTGGCATCAAGGCATACAATCACATTAGGCTCTGATTGTCGCTTGCCTGGGACTTCTGGTCCAAAGCAGGCAGGACATGTTGAAGCCAATATATCTTCGGGTGATAACTTCAGAGCTTTGTTTGCCAATTCCTCCCGTAGCCGTAACATTTCTCGATAAACATCAACAGCAGAGGAAAACCCTTTTCGCCAATCTCGCGTCTGTAATTCATTGGTAAATGAGCAAGTTTCTACATACAAGTAAGTCAATATACGTACTTGGTCACTTCCCGAAACTAATACAAGAGGGCTTCGAGGGTCTAGATACTCTTCCACAGCCTCTACAAAGGGTTCCAATCGAATGGTACAGTACTTCCAAGCAATGTGATGAAAGTGTAGCAATCAAATTGAGAATGCCATTGTTGGTCTAGCTGGAGTTCCACCGATGTAGCCTCTACGCAACAAGCGCACCAGATCTGACGTACAGGTGCAGGTTTCGAGCTGAATCTTTGTTTGACCTGTTTGAAGGAACACTATGTCAGTTGCAACCAATCAAATTGATAGTGGATTTGTAAACTCGCCTGAAAAATCGACTGTATCAATTGTGAGAATCTTCCGTTGCCAGTGAGCGCAGTTACATGGTTCATTCATGTCATGGTTCCATAAAACTGGATCTGTCCATTCGAAAGTAGTTCTACTACACGGCATGAATGAAATAAACATCGCTGGAATGACAGCTTTCCAGTTGGCTTCCTCCCGCATAATTCGTTCCTGATAGGTTAGACTACGGTAATAATCTGCACGATTGATCGGTCCGCTTTCATTCTCTCGTGACCCATCGTTTCTTTCAAGCGGCATAAAAGTGTTATACAGTTCTGCGTCTACAGGTTCTGGGCTTGCTTCAACCGAAGGAGCCCGGCTTTGTAGTGCAGGTCGTTGTGCCGCCTCCAAAGATCTGGCTGCGGCTTCCTCTTGTGCTAGGAGGTCAGAAAGGTGCCGACCAACACTGGATTTTGATGGCCGATTGGGTTGTGTTTCTCGCTTGCGCTTCGGATTGACCGCTTCGCCCGGTAATACCATGAAGATGATAATTTAAAAAGGAATAATGGAATGATCTTTTGGGAGTATAAAAAAGACAAAAAGTGGCTACAGAAGGTGAGTTTTCAAAGGCTTAAACGTCATACAAAAACCAACCGAGGTCTCAGTCCTTGCTTCAACTTTTGTTATGAAGAGTTGTTAGTTAGCGCGGGTTTGTCTAGATTGGCACTTCCAGATTAGACTACGCCCGGGCTTATATGGTCTTATCCTTTATTGTGTCCTGACTTTTGAGACAGGTGGCCAGGGGTGATCCCTCTGTCAATTGCCCAGAAAAACATCCAACTTGAATGATCAAACTCACGCTTCAAGGTTATCATCAAGTGTTCTTGCTGTATGATTGTAAGTCTATCTATAAGTAAATATTTAATGGATTGGAATCAACAATTCAATACTCTTTGGTTGAATCGAGACTGCGAGGAGTTCCATAGTTGATATCCGAGCGATAGCTTTTGGGTTTTGCTAATGATTGCAAACTTCCATATCATGGTGAATTTGATTCTTTTGCCAAATCACAGTATGGTATTGAATTCAAAGATAATACATTGACCATAGAAACATAGAAGATACAAATTAATTGCAGGTTTATTCTGATTGGAGCATTACCTTGTGAGGTGCGCAGATGATGATTTTTGAGACTTGATCCTCAAATAAAAAAAAATGTCAAGTTAAATGAAAAGTTGAAGTTCCCTCATGCTTCAATAGTCATGTCAATAGTATACATCTACAAATGCAAGTGTTATATAAAAATGATATGAGTTTTTGAGGTGTAAAGTAAACCCTGCTAACCTCACAAATACAAACTATTACCCGGGAATGGCAGCCAAAAATCACTAAACACCACTCAAAATTTGAAATAGAAAGAAAGTTGATTTTTAGTTAAAGCAATGTTATACTAACATGAAACCGCTTCAAATTTTGATTTATCTTGAAAAATGAAAAAATTTTATTTGACGCCAGTGTCTTCAAAAAAGATGAGATTTGTGGACAAAATGATAATGAGCCTGAAGTAAGCTTATGTATCATATAAATTAAGCAGCACATTCTTAGTGATACAATATCCAACCATGGAACAAGTTATTTTTTTTTCTAATTTGAAAATTACAAAAGTTTTATTTGAGGACTTGATTTTCAAAAAGCTGCACACATTGATATTGGGATTTCAAAACACAATGAACCTTAGTAGACCTTATGAAATGTATAAAGTAAGTTGCACATTTGTAGGGATACTCTGTAAAGCAATTAAACAAGTTCAACTTTGGTATTAAAGTAAAATATTTATTGGAGCCCTTGGTTGCCGAAGTTGACCTGCACACATCAATATTGGTTTTTCAAATCACGATGAAAGTGAGTTGAGGTTATTGATTATATAAATTAAGTTGCACATTAACATTAATGGAGATAATATGTCCAATCAGAAAACCAGATTCAAATTTCTTGGAAATTTAAACTTCACTTCAAAAGTATCATTGGAGCACTTGATTTCCAAATATCAGTGATACGACCTGCACACATTGAGCAGGCTCAGTACCCACTTAAATGGCCATGAGTGACTGTCAGTTTGAATGGGGAACTACCATCAAGGGTAATTCAGAATGAACTATAGTCACTCAAGATGATCCAAGTCCAATTCCTAGGTTTACTTGCAAAACCCAATAGTTTTATTTGCTCACTGTGTAACTGCAAATCCCCAAAATCCTATCATGGAGCCCACTTAAAAGTGTCTCATGTTGATTTTTGGTTTGAAATTCAATATTGAATACCTTTTTGATCAATGAAATAAATCAAAATTATGCAGGGCAGATGATATTTGTGTTATGATTCACCTAAAATGCAATGGAGCGTCATGAATAACCCACCCAATAATTGATTTTGTGTAACACCTCATAAAGTGATTTAGCATCCCAACCTGAGGTGGTCTACGCGCTTATAATTCCTTTGCTAACATCAGGCTGGCACAGTTTAACAAATCCTTCAACACAACTATATTGTGTTGAATTCCAGAAAAGTAGCAATTGGTTTGGATGTCAGAGTGGAACTCTATATTTAATGTGATTTGGGACTTGTCGTGAAATATTCATAATGGACATGGGACATGTCACTGACACGTGGTGGTCAAATTTCATGTGTCACCTGAAATTTGATGACAACTAGCTTTTCACAAGTGTGAAAAGCGTGTGATGAATCATTTTGTTTCAATCAGACCAGTCACCACATCATATACATAACCATCTCCTACCCATTGATTCAGAATTTCAGCCGACAATTACCCTTTTGCCAGCATCATGCCCTCCACACGCTCAAAGAAGACCTCTGCCAAGTCTACGCGCTCATCTCAGAATGCTCGAAGAAAGAACACCACCAAGACTACCTCTAAGCCTAAAAAATCTTCCAAAACTCCCTCGACTCGTGTTTCTCAAAATGACTCAAGGGCAACAAATGCAGAAGAAGACAACAACGACAGTGATTATCAAGATGATCACAACATCGAAGATGAAGAAGAAGAAGCACATGAACCAACTTCGACCAATTCAAATGCTCTCTCTGCAAGAAAGAACCAGCAAGCCCGTAGGTCTCAAGTCAATTCAACCACTACCCAGCCAACACAACCCTTGACGGAAACCAGCGGAGCCACTTCTGACCTTCCCAAGACCAAGACCTTTCGCTCGTGTTTTCCCGGACTTGAGATCGAAACGTTCAAAGATGAGCTTCCGAATTACACATTGATTGACCTCCGAGAAGACATCAAAAAGCAAGACTCACGTCGCAGTAAGGCCCATAAAGATATTAAGGATCTGGTCAAAATTGTCAGGATGCACTTCGAGAAGAGGATCCTGATGATTGCCCTCATGGCTGGAGTTCCCGAAGTGGTTATTTGGAATTTAGTGTGAGATTTTCTTATAACCCAAACGGTGATTAATGATTTTAACCAGATTGTCACTCTATATGATATTTTAGGGGTCTGGGGTCTAAGAAGGTCAAGGCCAACCCGTATGTACGGTACCTTTTGTTCTGTGTGGATAATTTGGGTGAAGCACATATGTGATATCATTTGTGCAATCCTCATCAATCCACACCGTACTTACCGCCTTTGCGAATGATCCTTTCCATTCGAACTCGCAGTTCCTGAACGTGAAGACAAGGGAGGGTGGGGTGCTCGTAACAAAGAAAAGTCCGACCAATGGAAACTACTGAGCGAGGACCAACGAGAGA